TATCTGTGGAATATTACTGCCTCAGCATTTGCCTAAGTGATCCAAGGAAACCACAGAAAAACTTGGACCAAGGCAGACGGACCCGGAATCGAACCGGCGTCCTCCCGAATGCTAAGCAATGGTCTAAACCTTAGGCCATGCCGCTCGGCGCTGAGGAATCTCTCCTGCATGTTGTATGCCATTACGCAATTAAATCGAATGCTTGGGAAAAAAGGCACAACAGCATCCTTAATTGGCCTATCGATGCCAGTAACTTAACAAGTACAACAATAAATAGAGGGACTATCAGAAGAACTCGTCAACCGAAAAATAATAAAACCACAAGAAATGCTTTCGAGATGGTCAGAATGGGAAAAATCAGTAAATATTTAAATGAGTGACATATATTTCATTCTCTATAATAATATGTAAGGTTATATATTTTTAATTTTTTATATATACGTAAGTATATAACTTATCTCCTATGTACCTAACTCATTTTTTTATAATTTCAGATATAACAATTTTTTAAGGTACCTAATATTGTAGTCTTATATAACTAGCTCATTTAAAAGTACAAATATGTAACTTGCTTCTTATGTCACTGATTTCTGTAATAATGCATAATTCATTTTCCTGCTAATGTAACAATCTATATATCTAAGCTAGCATAAGACTCAATTTTAATAAATTTAGATAATACATGCTCCTAAGTAAAGATGTGTTATCATTAAAGTTTACAAGATTTACAAATGTATTACTCTTATACAAGATATATACGAAAATAGTAGTACGAAAGTCTGAAGCATGGCAGGTCTAAACGGAGCGCCCAAGACAAAATTAGGCTCCTATTTAACTTACAATTAGTGATGGACTATCTTACCAGAAGCATACAATCATCAGTGCCTTGAACCATGCTATATGTTAGGCCCGAAGACCGAAAACGCTCAGTGGGCGGAAGAAACGGCCACATCGCGTTCTGGCTGCCTTCGAACGCACAGAACCCGTTTTGGCTGTTTTTAAACGCTCGCAACGCGTTCTGCTAACTGTTAAACAGCCGGAACGCGTTTTGTCAATTGTTGAACGCTCACAACGCGTTCTTAATTATTTGCCGCTTTCTACCTGCGTACAATGAGATTTATATTGCACTTATAAAACAAATGAATTTCAATTCATTTTTCAGATTTTAGGAAACAATTCAATTATTGACAACTATAATTGGATACCAAAGATGGGTTCGGTTTATCTCGCCGAATCATTTCAACAATATTAAATTTCTTATAATTGTTTTTCAGTTCTAGGAAGAAAGTTACACTGAACACTTAGTAGTTTGAGTATATAATAACTAACTTGACTTCATGAAAAATCAGTACAGTTCTCGTCAGTGTAGCGAGAAGATCAGTCTGTCATTGACTAAACAACTTACTAAAGTCGTTTGAAAAGTTACACTTGCATTAAAATGTCTGATAAATCAGCGAATGAAAAACCAATTATTGATAGTTGTGACGATAGATCTATGTTGCTGTCTGAGGAAAGGTACGAATTGCTTGTACGAGAAGTTGAGCATGCATAAAATGCGCCCAAAAATCAGAAGTCTCGACAATATAAGTGTTCAGTGTAACTTTCTTCCTAGAACTGAAAAACAATTATAAGAAATTTAATATTGTTGAAATGATTCGGCGAGAAAAACCGAACCCATCTTTGGTATCTAATTATAGTTGCCAATAATTCAATTGTTTCCTAAAAACTGAAAATAGATTGAAATTCATTTGTTTTATAAGTACAATATAAATCTCATTGAACTCAGGTAGAAAGCGGCAAATAATACAAGTCGAACATTAAGAACGCGTTGTGAGCGTTCAACAATTAACAAAACGCGTTCCGGCTGTTTACCAGTTATCAGAACGCGTTGCGAGCGTTTAAAAACAGCCAAAACGCGTTCTGTGCGTTCGAAGGCGGCCAGAACGCGATGTGGCCGTTTTTTCCGGCCACTGTGTGTTTTCGGTCTTCGGGCCTAACATATACGCTGATAACATCGTAAACGCTGCTGAAACTATAAAACATCTGTAGGAAGCGTACAATATGTGAACAAAGTCCCTGGAAGAATTTAACATGCAAGTTAGCAAAAGTAACTTCAGCGACCGAGCGGCATGGCCTAGACCAGGGGTCGGCAACCTTTTGAGTCAGAAGAGTCGAAAATTACAATTTACAAAATTTCAAAGTTTTTAAAGAGCCACAAAACATTTTCTTGTCAAAAATAAATTGTACTCGCATTTAAATAACTTTTTTGGACAAAAAACTAATCTATTTATTCATAAGAAAGAATATCTACTATATTTATATACAACACTAACTTGTACTTCAATAACAAACAATTGAGCAAACAAATTCAATGGGAACCATGGCTTCGCATGGTTATTCAAGTAGAAAATTTAAACTTTACTAAACAATGTAACTTGTAGTTAGAATAAAAAAAAGAATAATAACATACATTTGAGCAAACAAATTCAATGGGAGTGTTGGCTTGTTGGCTCATAACCGGTTGTTTTAAGTTTAAACGACTCTAAATTATCATTTGTTAGTTGGCTTCTTACTTTACTTTAATTATATTCATGCAAGGGCTTGCTCGCACGAATATTTCGATCCGAAGATAGTCAGCACTCCACATGTCAACTTCTTCACCTCACTGTAACAATCTGGAAGACTATTGGGATGCGGTGAAAGATAGAACCAGTGCCTAATCCTCGTTAATCAATTCAGAACGATTTTTAAATGTTTTTTTTTGATTAAACAAATAATATTTTCGTATGGAATTAAAAAGTCGCAGCTTCACATCCAAAGAGCCGCATTTGGCTCGCGAGTCGCAGGTTGCCGACAACTGGCCTAGACGTTTAGACCATTGCTTAGCATTCGGGAGAACGCCGGTTCGATTCCGGTTCCGTCTACCCTGATCTAAGTTTTTCTGTCGTTTCCTTGGATCACCCAGGCAAATGCTGAGGCAGTAATATTCCACAGATAATCTTTCATTCTCTTCTGTCTTCATTTCGTCCATCTCATCTTTCTCACCCGAACCACCACCCACCCATTACTGGCTGATGGGAATGAAACACCCAAAAGTTTTTTTTAGTAACTTCAGCGAAAACACAGCAGCTGACACAGTCTGCATTGAAAAGATTTAAATATATCTCGGTTTTATGCTCATGTCTGGTGTCAACATAGACGCCAACGTATCGCATATAATTACTACAGTGTGACGTAAATGTAGGTCACTGGTGGGAGTTTTGTGTGACCACCGGATGCCTATAAAACTCAGAGGCAAAGTAAATAGAACAGCAGTCCGACCGGTGCTACTATACGGGTCTGAACAATAAAAATGACGCATGAGTAGAAGGTGGGCGGGAGACGTGACTATACTCGATGAATTTCAGAATGAATATATATATGGAAACATTAACATCATCACTAACATTCGGGAGGACCCCTGCTCGATTCCGTGTTGGTCTGCTTTGGTCCAGATTTTTCTGTAGTTTCTCTGGATCACTTAGGCAAATGCTGGAGCAGTAATATTCCACAGATAATCTTTCATTCTCTTCTGTCTTCATTTCGCCCGTCTCATCTTTCTCACCCGCACCACCATCCAACCATTCCCATGATTCCTGAAAGTAGACTGAAGAGGGCCTTCCGCCCTACCTTCCGGCGTATTCCGGAGGGACTGCCCGCCGAGCAGCATTAGTGGCTGATGGGAATGAAACACCCAAAAATTTAAAGTTTGGTCGTGCCTTTACTGACAAAGTGACTGAGATACGCCTTAAATGATACGGATATGTCAAAAGAAGAACGAAGATCATGTAGTACAGATTGTGCTAGACGTACCGAAAACAAAGAGAGGCAGAGACCTCTCACAACCTACTAGATGGTTAGTTAAACTTCAAGGGAGACCTCAAGAATGCCAACTTGTCAGATCCATCGGTCCAAGACAAAATTGATCTGACGTGAAAAATGAGGAGACCCGACCGCAAATAAATGGAATAACTTCAAATGTGTTTCTTTAGTTTTATATTACATATAATGTTAAAACAAACGTTTCAATTTAGATCAAATTTGAACAACACCTTTTCAACTTTTGATTATAGTAGGGAAGTATAATACTAAATGCACATGTTTTCTGTTAACATTTATAAAGAATTTGAGATGGTATGTCAATGATATTTAGACTAGTGTTTATAGATATAGGCTTTCAATGCGCAATTGGAATAAGTGAAGGTATAAACAGTAATTTCTGAGAAAAATAAAAAAAATATGAATTCAGGAACATTCAATAGTCCTTAAGACTGTAACATTGTAATTAAAAAACTTAAAGCTTTTCTTGTGGGCCACACGTTGACTAAAGGGAACCATGTAAATATTTTTCCAAAAGGAATTATGTACCTAATACTGTATTGTTGTAAACAGTAATTAGGATTGTGAATACGGTGGTTCAGAATTGGTGTCCAAGTAATAATCTCCAGTAGCACTAAAATGGAAACAAATATGTAAACTGTTAAGAAAGTTACCTGTTGAATAATTACCTTGTATCAATATTTACACCTCCAAGTCTGCTCTGATCGTTCGACTGACATTGTCCAGAACGGAAGTTGCTATAGCTGTCACATTTCCAAGCGGTAAATCCTCCTGACCTGACTGATTCTGCAAACAACCTATAAGCTCTGCTATGAGCACAAAGACCAGTTAGTTCAATTGTACAACCAGGCTGATCTCTTCCACCATTAGGTCTGTAATCAGCAGTTCCAAGATTATCTTCAAAGCCCCATCTGCCACCGCAAGTGTGAATTGCATGAACAAATTGAGCATCAGAGGGGTCTAATCTGTTGTTCGTAATGTTATTAAGGTATAAAGGTCCTGCAGGATCCAAACCATATATTGCTAAAATGTTACTATTTGTAGCCGCACCGGCACATCCAGCTACATGAGCTCCAAGGCTGTAACTGTAATTGTATTGAAAAAAGAGGATTGCATTAGACAAATTCGATCTTTTCAAATCTTCCTTTTAGTTTGTTTTGCCATAACATTGCCTTCAGGCGAATTTAGTATTAACTACTACCAGCGTGAGTTACTTAAAAAAATACTACAAAAACATTGTGGTTGGTATTTCATTAAAATAAATTTAATACCATTAATTTGATCGTTCAAAATTAATCTTAGTTTTTTAAATATATTTAATTGAAGTTTCTCTTGTAGAGTGAATTTTTGCCATTTACTACATGTGTGCAAAATTTCTAAATTATCGTTAAAATAACGTCCTTCATAAGCAACATGATTGGCAAAGGTTGAATTAGTTTTCTTTTTGATGTAACTGGTTTTATGCTGTTGCAGTCGTTTTTTAAAGCTTCTGCCTGTTTGTCCAATATAAACCTTAGGACAAGATCGACAAGTTAGCTTATACAATCGTGACATATTTTATTATTTTTTATCTTTATTTTTAACAAACTTAATAAAATAATTCGAAGTGGTCTGTATTCTGTCGAAACTGCCAGACGCGGATCGCGATTTCGATATTTGTGATTCGTTTCAGCAAGTAGATATCCATATATTTAAATGGATCTTGTTGAAGCATACGTAATCCTAAAGTGTAGCATTGTACTACAGATGACGTTTACCGCACCATTTGTGGTATTGTCTTTAACAAACTTAATTACAGAGTAATGATTAAGACTACTGTTTCGCAAGTACTAGATGTAGGGACTACATAAGTAATGCTATTGAATTTTCTGTTTTTAATTGTCAGGGGTTTATAAGCTAACTTGTGAGTGTTGCACTAAAGTTTATATTGGACAAACAGGCAGAAGCTTTAAAAAGCGCCTATTGTAGCATAAAAGTAGTATTTAAAACACAAAACTGATTCAATCTTTGTCAGTTATTAATGAAAGATATTGTTTTAACTTTAAAATTTTCGCAAATAAAAGCCATAAATTAACCCTGTTACGGAACCTCGAAATAAGTAGATTGAAAAAACTAGGACTAACTTTGAACGACCAAGACCAAGTACGCTGATATTGCCGTTAGTAATTAAATATAAATTTTCATCAACTAAAGGTCGAAATCATTCAATTCCTTTTACTTCATTCAATACATACAATACATTTATATGTAAACGCCCAGAAATGTACTCTTACCCTACAATTGTGAATTTATCGGCGCCCAGTCCAAATTGGGTTTGCATGTCTGCAATGAACTGCCCTAAGTATCTTCCAATTGTGGGAACGTTAGCAAATGCATTTGTGTACAGCGTACGGGATACAGGACTCCAATCCACCACGAATGTATTAACATCAGTAACATCACTGTAGGCGGAATTAATAAGTTGGTTAGCAGCACTAGTGTAACTGCCTTGCCAACCATGAATCAAGAAAATATTCTGCCTTGAAAAATTGTAATTGGATGATGACGAAAGTGCAGTAGCGTCCAGTGAATATATTTCAGGAGTTAAAGTATTGCTTTGACTGTAAAGATAAAGGGTAATGTCGGAAGCAGAGGCATATGGTTCACGAGTTGGAGCCATGGGATCGATTATTTCAATCTCTCCATTTTCACCGTATATCGTCAATAATCTACCAGAAGAGGCACTTACTGAAACAAAGCGGATATATATAAATGTAAAGGGTTTTCAGATATTAGTGGCAAGTTTGGCGAGTGTTAATTAGATGCAATGGTGAATCGCATGGTGAGTTAAATAGCGTGATTGAGGGACAAAAACATTGTAAGAAAATCAGAAGAAGTTACAATCCAAAGCCGGTCCTGGACGTGAATTGGTAACATAGGTATTGGTACAGCGAGTTGTGATAATAATTATGCAGCTACATTAATGGAGAATGTAGACAGTGCCGGTTGTGATAAAGCGTACTACCACGCTACTAGAAGCTGTAGGCGCTCATTACGACAAACACTGATTAAATAATAACTTTATTTATCGGTGATAGTAAGCCTACAACAGTATTTAGAATACACCTCAGTACGGTATTAAGGAAGCAAAAGAGATATAGAATTAACATTAAGTAAACTTTAACAGGTATTGAGGTATTGTCAACGAACGATACCGTTTTCTATGAATGGTTCGCAAATACTGCTTTCTTCTCACTAGAAAAAATTAATTGTGCAACACCTGTAAACTCATCATCATCATAAGGTCGTCAGTCCCAAGACTGATTGGATACGCACCTCCAGGCTATCCTATCCTGAGCTAATCTTTGCACTTCCCTTTAACTAGAACATCCCATATCCTTAACTATTTGCGAACAGTAATCTAACCAAGGTCTACCTCTATTGCTGTTAAATCCTGTTTCTGTCTCTATGTCCATGACTAAATCTTCATGCCTAAGAAGGTGTCGTACCCACCTATGTCTATGCCTATTATTTATTGACTTCCATAGAGTCGTCTGTGCTCCTATTCTTTCTAATACGTCTTCATTTCTAACTTTCTCTATTCATGGTATCCTCATCACTCGTCGGTAACATTTTCTTTTCCGCCGCAGCCACCGTCCATACATACACCTTTAACAATCTGTTTCGAATTTCTAAATTAATCGTTCGCGAGCATAGATATAATTTATAATAATTTATTCAATAAACGGGAATACTCCCTTTTTACATAAGGACATTAATATAATATATTCGCTCAGTCCAAACTCTCACAAAAATAAAATTAATTGTATAAATAGTTGCACAGCAATACAGTTAACTAACTAAGAAGACTAAGAAAAGCAGCCAAAAGTATAGCAAAAAAGAAAGCAATTAATAATACACATAGCACCATAATTAGTGACAAGATCCAAAATTGATACAGATTATTTATGAATCTAGAATACGAAAGCAAAGATATAGAAAATCGACACTTTCAGATATTAAATTTCCCAGCTTGTGCAGCCGACTCTGCAGACTGTTTGCCGCTGAAGTTGTATGAGAAAAAGGAATAGCAAAAAGTTGATTACGGCGAACATGGAGGGAACATGAAAATTGATATTGGATAACATAGTTGAATAATCAACTAAGCCGTGTAGAATCTTAAATAAAAGTGTCAAATCCGCGATGTTTCTCCTGGTCTCTGGCGATTGAATGTGGAAAAGTTTTTTGATGTTAGTATAGTCGTGATCACCGAAACGCATGGGTGTCATATTTACAAAGGCGAGTTTGCGCAAAAATTTCGATTGAACCGATTCAAGCATTTTTTTATCAGTCGCAGAGAAAGGAGACCATATTGGCGAAGCATATTCTAATTGAGGTCTGACAAGTGTATTAAATAGTGTAATTAAGGTAGACGGATTTCTAAAATGTTGAGAATTACGAAAGATAAAACCAAGTAATCTGAGGGCTTTGTTCGTTATTTTAATAATATGAGCGCGAAATGAGCCGTCTGATGTAAAAGTAACGCCGAGATCAATGGTTTCATCTAACGTTAACAGAGATGTTTGTCGAATGTGATAGTCAAATAAGACGCGTGAGTTTTTCTTTTTTTTGGTGTACCGAACGACATGACATTTTGCAACGTTAACTGACATAAAATTGTCATCACACCATCTATCGAAAGACTACAGATCGTTTTGCAGCAATATCGCATCATCAACTGAGTCGATTTTACGGTATATTTTTGCATCATCCGCGTATAATAAAATCTGACTATGATTAAGATAGGAGCTCAAATCATTAATAAATATCACAAACATCAGCGGACCTAAATGTGAGCCTTGCGGGACGCCCGACTTCTCTTTATTGAAGGCGACTCGGCCCCGCACTATCCTCTCCTTTATATCTACTACTCTACTACTCCTTCCGTCCTGACTTATCTGACTTCCTAAATACCTAACATCAGCCACTTCTTCTGATCTGCATACCAGTATTTTAGTTTTACTTTTATTTATTTTCATACAGTACTGATCTGTTAGTACCACTTCCATTTTATTTAAAGCTATCTTTAACTCCTTCTTGTTAGATGCTAATACTGCTATATCATCTGCAAATATAAGATTACTAATCTTTTGCTCCACTATATCTATCCCTAAAATTGTACTGTCGTTAATGATGTTGATCGCGACTTCGATGTACAGATTAAAAAGTAGCGGTGACAGTGCATACTTGTCTGACTCCCTTCCTAATATTTACTTCTCTACGTTGCATCCCCAGCTCTATAACTGCCTGTTGCTCTTTATACAAACTAAGTATCACTCTTCTATCTCTGTAACTCATCCCTACACTTTTGACTATATTTAACATCTTGTCTTATTTAACATTGTTAAAAGCTTTTTCTAAATCTGAAAAACCTTTGTACGCGTCCTTTCTTTTTTTCTATCGTTTTCTCCCCCCGCGTTCCACTATTGTTTCCCTGTCATTCGTTTCTTCCTCCTCCTTTAGTATTTCGTCTGTCCTTGCATCTAGCCTATCCAGCGTATCGCTACATTTATCTGTAAACTCACACACACATAAATACCTACATTACTAAGATTATTTGAATTTCGAATCCCGCACTAAAGGACGAGCTTCCACGCGACTACCAAAATTACTGCCTATAACATTAAAAAAGCGAAGAATTGCTATAGGCTGGTTGTAATATAAAAATACTCAATCAGACTTTATTTAAATTAACAAATAACACGCAATGCATGAGTACAAAAATACAGAAAAAATACAACACGGTAGGTCTTACCTGCTTTCGATGTTGCATTATCGCATTTCTGAACATACATTTACCTGTACTTTGAACTACTACCTTTTTGTCAAAAACGGTGAACTTACTTAATTATCTTATTTCTGCAAAAGCTTGTTACTTATGATGTATCCTGTATATATATTTGAAAGTTTTCTAGTTTATATAAAAAGAAATTTTACAATCACATAAATGTCCAATTGTATCTATTATTGTTGAATAACGAACAGTGTAATAAAAGGACTTTTAATAATACTTACCAGGGTTATATACTGCAAAAGCAGTATTGACTAAAACGAGCAAGATTTTCATTTTGTTCAACGTTTCTAAATTATCATATTTATACTTTTCCAATCACATGAAATTTATCATTTCGTGTTTGGTCCAACCGATATTTTTTTATCATTTTATAAGATACGAGGGCAATTTCATTTTTTTCGTTATTGACAGTGTCGCCGTATTTGCTGTTTAGCCTACCCTTGAATAAGCCACTGCTCAGCTAACTGGAATGCACCGTTTTCGCTCAGAAGCCCCAGCCTGCAGCTACCACCTGGTGCAAAGTAATGAATTTCACTGGCGCTATACGGGTGAAAAAAAAAACTTTTTGGACCCAAAACTATTCTTAAGTACATTATTGATGAATTTTGAAAAGAATAGTCCTTTTTGCTATCAAAATACAGAATAACTCGCGCACTTCGACATTTCGCACTTAAGGATCTATGTTTGAAATGGTTCGTATCAGATTTTAAAGGTATTTTAATTAATAATCGAAACGCAAAGCCGATTTAGTGTCTATAATTTGAGAAAAATGCGCATGCGTGGTTAACATAATGTGTAAACGCACATGGTTTGTTGTGCTTATAAGCGACTGCATGTTCAAGAGTACTGTAATACTCATCGACGTTTACTAATGGACATGCCTTAGCATTCAGAATTGTGGTACAACAAAAGAAAGAGATGGAACGAAGTTTCGGACAATATCCATCTCTCTCACGATACTGCGTAAGCGTGTCATGAAAGATATAGCGCCAGTGCGAAACCATCTCCCTCACTTTTCGAGCCAAGAAATTATTACAGCGACATACGGCTAAGGCACGTCAATTAATGTATGTCTATGGTAATACTAGTACTATAGACTTAGAACAAAGAAATTCGAAGCAGTCAGTATTCTGTCGAAACTGCCAAACGTGAATCGCGATTTCGATCTTGTTGGATTTCATCAGCGATCATCATGAGATCCAACAAGATCGAAATCGCGATCCGCGTTTGCCAGTTTGGAACTGACTACTTCGAATTTCTTTTTAACGTAACGTGCCAATCACGTAGTGGTGAGCTATACTTGGATCCAGTTTAGCAAGTAATTATCCTTATCTAGTTAAATGGACCTTGTTGAGCATATTGAATTCCACAAAATGTAGTATTGTACTACAGATGGCGTTTGCCGCGCCATTTGGAGGATTTCATAAAACGCGCTGTGTTAAGGCAGCAGGTAGAGTTAGTCTAAGTTCCGCCGAAACTGTCTGCGACGCGCTGATGAGATTCAACTTAATCGAAATCGCAATCACCGTCTGGCAGTCGACAGAATATTGATCACTTTCAATTTCTTTGTTCGATTTTGATAACGTGCCTATTATGTAGTGGCGAGCTACGCCCGGATTCTGTTCAGTAAGTAGATATCCATCTATTTAAATGGACCTTGTTGAGCATATTGTATTCCACAAAATGTAGTATTGTACTACAGATGGCGTTTACCGCGCCATTTGTAGGATTTCATACAGTCATAGAAGATAGACTGAGCAATGGCCTCATGAAATTAACCACTCACTAGAAAGAGAGAAAAGACCGTGCGGCCAATACCTGTCTCTTTTCTTCTTTCTTTATCCCATTCATCCACTCCTGCAAGATAATAACCAACAACCAATCAAAAATCTCGAAAAAGACCACCACTGACCGCACGATCGCTTTGACTCCCTTATACGTTTCTCCCTGTATTTACTTTATAGTCAGATAGAGAAGGTACAGTCCATTCTCTATGTCTAAGTAAACAACAAACTCGACAGTTTAACCAATAGCCGCGCCAATTTTTTTTCTGTGATTTTAGCACTTTGAGGGTTTTACTTTTGGAATTTCCCTTATACTATATCACCTCAAAAATTCTGTGCAATACTAGTTGCTTATCAATCCATTGTTGATTAAAATAAATAGGAACTTCATAACACCACGTAATTATAATGCTAAAAATTGATGCAGTTTGATCTCACTGTTGTTATTCTTGGACAACTCGAGTAGTTGTTTACCTGATTTGTCTTAAAAAAGAAAAAAAAGATAATCAACTTGAATATTATCAAAAAGTATACAATTCAAAGATAATACACGGGCGCCTAAATAAATGATTTGATTAAATTCCGCATAATTATACTATATTTGTACTGCGCCGTAATGAATAATAACGATAAAGTTTAAGAGTATTTTAGCTCATAGTTTAAAATAAAAACAAAAGAAGTAAAGTTTCTCGATACACGATTTCTACTGAAATACTCACTCATATTCACCTCCACTTCTTCCTATCTTGAGTCAATCTTCGCATTTCTCGAAAATTCGAGCAACCACCATATTTTTAATCAATTGTAAACAGCAATCTAGTCTAAATCTACCTCTATCCCTCTTAAGTCCCGTTTTTGACGTGATAACGTCTTATAATTCGATGGAGCCGGCTGCACGCACGAAAAAACATGACTCATGCGGCGTTACCTCGCTGAGGCTTTCCATTTAAGGCTTGAAGTGCAAGCGAAAGCGCGGAATGAGCGACAAAGAGGCACAATCAGCCACCGCGTTCGGCAGCGTTCGACATCTGTCTCTCTCCTACTTGAGTGAGCGATGCGTCTGCGGGGACAGCTGCTATACAATAATATATTTACATGTTTTCGTCAAGTATGAAGTGCAGTGAAAAGTGAATGTGGTGTCAATTGTTTATAGCAACGATAATTGCGGCGATAAAGGTAATGATTCTTTCCATATTAAATATATGTTCAGTGATATATTGTCTAATTGAAGCTAGAGTTACAAAAATTTTAATGATGTTTAAAAGTTGTAAATAAAAGTTGTAAAACAATTGCTCGAAGCACATTCATACTTGTAAAAACTATGTACATTAGAAAAAAAATAAATAAAAATTGACATAATTGTATTTATGTGTACAATTAAATGTAACTTGATCAATTCAATTGTGATTTCCATTTACCTCCTTCTCGATATCCATACAAAATATCTATCAAACAAATAAAATTAAAATTTTCTTTTAAAAAATGAAACCATTCCATCAGTATTTTCTTATGACGTCACGTTCAACTATCGTCAGTAAACCGACTTTACAGACAACCGATTTTTTGTTTTTAAAATGGCTCTAACTGTCTGAAAACGTGTCCTACCAACCTATCTCACCTGTTTCCTATTATTATCCTTTTCTATCCACGATATTTTTATTATGACATCCTCATGTAACATCACATCTCACTTTTCCGCATCGCCCACAGTTCACGTTTCACATCCATACATAGTCCTGCTCCAAATGCATGTACACCTTTAATAATCGTTTTTGAATTCATTAAAGTGATTTCTTTCTTCAATTTTCTTGTAGCTGATCTAAAAGGGCCTCTCAAAATGGAAGTTCGAAACACTTGTTACCACAAGTATAAGGACAGTAACGAACAGTAACGAACAGTAAAAGTGGTAAATGTGCAGTAACGCCCTCTTTAAAATTACAGTGCTACCAACATAACTTAGACGTCCGAAAGTTTAAATTTTTGGTTAGAAATTAACTACATATGAAATATAAAAAAACACTAAGGTAAAAGGCCCAGTTTCTGACACTCTAAGAGCAACAGCTGAGATTATATTGCGATAACGCGATC